TTGTGCTTTGCGCCCTCGGCCGCCAATCATAGAACCGTCTCCTTGTGGTTGCGCCACTGTTCCGGCCGAGAATAAAACGGCCTCCTGTTGGTTGCGCCATAGATTGCGCCCTCGGCCGCCGAGAACAAAACCGCCTCCTATCGGTTGCGCCATCGGTTGCGCCCTCGGCGACTGAAAACCGTCTCCCATCGGTTGCGCCATAATTGGTTTGCGCCCTCGGCCGACGCGAAAAAATCGCCTCCTATCGTTTGCGCCATAAGTTACGCCCTCGGCCGCCGAAGATACAGCCGTCTCCTATCGCTTGCGCCATAGATTGCGCCCCCGGTCACCGATGTGTGTTTTTTGGGTTTGGTACATATATATATATAAACCAAACAAACAGATTTTATCTGTTGCGCCGTAGGCCGCGCCCTCTCGCGCCGAGAATGAAATCACCCCCTGTCGGTTGCGCCATAGGTTGCGCCCTCGGCCGCCGAGAATAAAGCCGTTTCCTATCGGTTGTCCCGTAGGTTGCGCCATTGGTCGCAAATGATAAAGCCGTCTCCTATTAGTTGCGCCATAGGTTGAGCCCCCAGCGGCCGAGAATGAGATCGTCTCCTTGCGGTTGCGCCATAGGTTGCGCCCTTGGCGGCCGAGAATCAGACCGTCTCCTATTGGTTACGCCATAGGTCGCGCCCTCTGCCGCCGAGAACAGAACCGTCGCGTAAAGAGTGCGACCAGTCAGTTCAGCTCAGTTCAGTTCAGTTCAGTTCTTCCAGTCCAGTCCATCCCAGTCCAGCCCAGTCCAGTTAGTTTACCTCGCGAGAAAGAAATTCGGGCTACGCCCGAAAACGACAGGATGTTCTCATCGGGCCTGGGAACGGACTGGTCATGTTCCCGCGAATGGCGAAACATATCAGCCTTGTTTGGCTCGTTGCCAGCGCCGCCAGAAATCCATCGCGCCATGCGTCTTTTACGATCCCCTTGTGGATCGCAAATGGTAGTTTTCCGAACTCGGCGGGGTGCGTCTGGCAGACGTAGAGTGCCATCACTCTTGGGCGAAGACAACGGCCATTCAACGTGCGTCCACGGCGCCATCTTACCCAGGCGTTCTGGACAGCCCAAGCGCACTGCAACGGCGCGCCTGATTTGCGCAAGATCGGCGCTCAGATTTCAAAGTGGCGCTCATTTGGAGAGAAAAGAAAAAAGGTCCTCGACGCCTCCTTGCGGCTCATCGGCCGCCGACTCACCGTCCGAGCCGTCGGATTCGGTTTCTCGTCGCTGGCTCTCCCACGGCGCCGCCAGATGGCCGCCCAAACCGCCCTCGCGCAGGCCCTAGTCACCCTTGTCTTTGCGGTGGCCTTTGCCGCCGGACTGTTTCGCCTGCGACGAAGCCCGCCGGCCCCGCGGATCGCGCGCGAGACAGGGGCGACGCCGACGGGGGCGACGCCCGCCGCCACCTGCCGTCTGAAATCAACAGCGGGCGCTGCTGGGCAGACGACAAGCGCGGCCAGGAATCGCTGGCCGGCGTCGCCTCCGGTCGCGTCCTCCCCCTTCGCGCGGCCCAACTGCCGGCTTCTAACTTCCCTTGCCGGCGCCCTGGCCGCCCTTCGCCGAGCCTGCGGCGGCCGCCGCGGCCGCCCCCTCGGCGCGCGGGCTGTTTTTATTTGGCTCCCAGCATGGCATCTCTGTCGGCGTCGCACATGAGGGTCCGGACCTGGCCGTTTTGGCTTTGTTCCAACGGCCTCGGCAGCTTGCGGCGCAGGAGGAGGTCGCAGTGGCGCGTGGTCTTGACCCCGCCGCGCTCATCCGCGATCCTTGCGAGCGCGTGCGCGCGCGCGAGGAGCTGCGACATCGTCGTGGCTTTGGCGAGAACCATGCTCGAACCCAGTCCTGGACGCGGCCCGCGAATGCGGCAAACCGCTTGAAGCAGGTTTTCTCTTCCGCTGCGGGGGCCGTCTCGACGTCTAAAGCTGCCCTCAGTTTTGGAGTCCGCGACCAAAGTGCTTGGGGCACGCCATCAGGCCCCCCCCGTCCGCGGGCCCCGCGAGCAAGCGGCCCCGGTCGCGGGCGGCCCGCGACGCAGCTTCCAGGCGGAAGAGCGACGTCGTCGGGCACGCGCCCAAGCCCTTTTTACTTGGGCTCGGCCGCCCAACGCGAAGCTGAGCGCGGCCCCCCTCGCCCCCTTGTCTGTTGCTACCTTCCTGTGCGAACTTGGGCGTGGCAGCCGCCGCGGCGAACGCGTCGGCCGATCCGCCGGCGGCGGCGCTGTTCCTGGTCGGAGCGTTTTGGGGGGTTTTGCCCAGACCGAGCCGCCTCCGCCCGCGCAGGCGAGATTTCTTGTCGCGCATCCGCTCCCCGGCTTGGCCCGACTCGCACGGCTTAGTTTTCTGCTTGATCTGGTTGAGGATCGATGTCCGCGCGCGTGGATCCTCGAAGTCCCGCGGCCGCGCAGGCCCCGCGATCTCCGCCCCGACCCCGGCCGCGGCGGCGAGATGACAGGATCGGGCGTTTGGCCGCGGGGGCCTCGTCCAACGAGCGCGCGCGGCCGATCCACTTGGCCTTCATCTCTTGGGGCGCCCCGCCGAACGAGCCCCGCGGGACTGTCTGGGCGACGCCCGAAGTCTCGGCGCCATGGAGAGACGTTGCGGGCCCAGGTGGCGGCTGAGAAATCAGGTTCGCGACTGCCGCGGGGATGCGTTTGATGCACCTGAAACTGCCGCTGGGACGGCGCCTCCGCCTGCGCGCGGCAACGCTTCTTCCGCGCCGTCACCAAACAGCCCTGGCATGCACGGCGCACTGGCGCTATCAATGCTCTTCTGACAGTGGGCGCAACGATTTCACCCTGCATCCCTTGGGCGCATGGGATGGTAGGACTGCGCTGGAAATGTGGTTGTTGAGAACACCGCCAGGTGTCGCAAGCGCCCGAACAGCGCTGCGCATTCCTGGCGGCCTCCGGGGGCCTCCAGTGACATTTGAAACGAGTCAGAGTTGGAGTAACACAAGGAAAAGCAAGAGTTGGGGGTGAGAGAAGGGGCATGGTCTTTGCCCTCGTTACACTTCGGGAGCGGTCATCTTCGAGGGGCGCCACTTTTGCGCGTCATTCCCCCGGGCAGAGCACGGACTGCTGATGGCGTCGGTCGCCAGCCTGCCGCGAACGGCTCGCGCCGCTTGTCTGTCGGCGCGCCCGGCAGTCGGAAATTCCATGCACTGCGCGCGAGCGCCCCCCCCATCCCCCGGGGACAGGGGGTGCTCAATGGAAGGCAAAGAGGGAAGAAGCGAGCTTTCTGAGGTCGGTCATCGGGAGGTCCCTTCTGGGGCCCGACCCCGCGGGGGCATCTTAAATATGGGATGCTCGTTTTTTTCGACGTCGCTGAAGCTACCCGCCAAACACTCGCGCGCCTGAGCGCGCAAATGGGCAACGCGCGCGCGGCGCGCATGGGGGGGATTTTTGTTTCTGGATTCCCCCTTGCTGTTGCCTTGTCGGCCGCTTTCCTGACGGCCTTCGGGGCAGCCACATTCTGGGATCTCCCCATTGTGCCACGCCGAAACCCATCGCGGGGCATTCGAGAATGGTTACCCCCCTGCCTCGCAAGCTTGCACCACCGCAGCGCTGGGGAAACCTCCGCGCGGGGGGGGTCCAAAACATGATCCACCTTGTTCTGAATGGCATCCATTTTTCGATTGCCCGTGGCACTAACTTGAGACGACCCACTGCAGAATGTCACGGTCGAAGGCTGGCCGGGTCGTCTACGACGACGTTGGCCTTGGCGTATCCCAATGACCAACGGTCCACCGTGTAACTGGCCCTGCGCGGTCTTATTAGGTTTGGGCAGACAGCCCAACGACCCCGGGGTTCAGTCCCAGGCTACTTACTTCTGTCGTCTACGACGATGCTGGTCTGGGCGAAGCCAAGTGACCAGGAGGGCCGAGGTGTAATCCAGCCCTGCGCTGTTGCTGGGTTGGGTAAAAGCCCGCTGACGAGAGGACCCAGTCGAAGGCCTGCCCTGTTGTCCGCGACGACGCTTGTTTGGGCGAAGCCCAGTGACCAGAGGGCCCAGGTCTAACCCAGCCCTGCGTTGTTGCTGTTTCGGGCGAAGCCCAGTGACCTGTCGTCCGCGACGACGTTTGTTTGGGCGAAGCCCAGTGACCAGGATGGCCCAGGTGTAACCAGGCCCTGCGCCGTTGTTGGTCCGGGCGAAGCCCAATGACCAGAGGGCCCAGTCGGAGACTGGCCCTGTCGTCCGCGACGGCGCTGGCTTGGGCGAAGCCTAGTGACCAGAGGGCCCAGATGTAACCCAGCCCTGCGCTGTTGCTGGTTCGGGCGAAACCCACTGGCCAGAAGACCCAGTCGAAGACTGGACCTGTCGTCCGCGACGGCGCTGGTTTGGGTGAAGCCCAGTGACCACAGGGCCCAGGTGTAACCCAGCCCTGCTCCCCTCCCTTAAGCGGAACGACCCCGTCGGCTGCCAACCGGAATTCGGCCACCACTGGACAGTGTGTTTGGCTGGCATGTGCACCCCAGCCCAACCAGGCGGACCGCTTGGCCACCGCGCAAGCAACCTGCACACGACGGAGCGGCGCAACGGCACCGCGCGACGGCACTGCGTGACGGCACGGCACCGGGGCCATTGCGTGATGGCGTGGCACCACGGCACGGCGCGGCATTGCCACTCCCCGCGCGCAGCGGCACGCCACCACGGCACGGCGCTGCACTGCCCCACTCCGCTTTCGCGACGACGGACGTCATCAAACATGACGTGGCACCGCACGTGCTCGGGCGAGGCCGCGAACCGCCACCCTCCAGGGAGGTATCGTGGGCTCAGGGACCTCAATCGCAGCCGCCCCCACTGCCGCCAATCCTCCTGCCGCTGCTCGAAGAGTGTGGTTCAGAGGGAGGAGGACCAGGAGGAGGAGGAGGAGGAAGAGGAGGAGAAAGAGGAGCAGGACGGCGCCCACCGCGCGGCCGGACGCCGTCGGCGACGGCAGCGACAAGATGCCGACGAGATGGCAATGCCGAGGGCACGGTGGCCTGCGGCATGCGCTCGCACGTCGTCTTCAAGCCGGCGATGGCGTTCAACTCCGAGAAGGGCCCGGGGCGGGGTTGCCACCATGAATCAGAATGGGAGGGGTCCTAAGGTTTTTCCCTGTTTTGGGGCTGTCGGACCCCTTCCCGGCCCCAAGGCCCTCAAGAAACCAAGGCTCCAGGTCCAGTTCCCGTCTCCTTCAGGAGCCGTTCCTTTCATGCCAGGGATCCTGGCCGACAGGCGGCGGCGGCGACGGAAGTCAAAGTTCTTGGGGCAAGGTTCGCCTCGGCCTTGGCGGGCAGGAGGCATGTCCACGTCCGCGGCCGCGTGGTCAGCGCCTCGCGGCCGCGGTCCCGCGGACAGTGTCTATAGGGCGGCGGTGCGCGGGTGCCCCGCGCGGGAGGTCCGGTGGCAAGAGTCGCTGGCCTGTGGGCACGACGCCTGCGACGCTGCTGCCGACTACCTGGGCCCGCGCGATTCCTCTGTGTACCGCCGCCGTGCCATGCCCATTCAAGACCATGTTTGTTTTTGCCCACTGTGGCCTGGGTGGCGCACTCAGAGGTGCCGCTGCAGCAGGGACGGGTTCTCGTCAGGAGCCGGATGCCACGTCATTGTGTGGGGCCCCCGCTCGCGGGCCCCTCGCCGGGCACACCGGGGCCGTCAGGAAGTGGCCCCAGGATGGAACTTTCGCCAGGGGGGCACCGGGTCCGCAGGGCAACGGGTCCCGAGTTTTTTTTTCGTCGTGGTCTGCCCCTCGGGGCCTCCCACGGGCCCCGGGGCTGTCAGACAACGACTCGGGAGGACGATCTTGTCCCGGGGGAAGGCCCCCCATGGCCGGGACCCTGTTTCCTTCGGGACCCGTTCGTCACATGCTCAAACCTGGCCCCCAATGAAGAGGTCCAGAGCTCGTGGGGGTCCACGTCATGAAACAATCGGGACGTCGGAGGTCCGCCCTCCGATCCGACGCAGCGAAAGTTTTGCGGCACCGTGGAAGATCACGACCTGAGAGCCTTGGGATCCAGCCTGCCGCGCCAGCCTTCGAACTGGACTGATCTGTGGTCGGTAGTGAGGGGCCTGGGGTTCGAAATCATTCGGAAACGCTCGGCTCGAACCAATTGCGACGCCAGGGATCTCAGCGATCCAACGCCCAGTCAGAAAAGCAGGTCCCTGAACGTGCCGCGCTCAGAGCGCGGCTCCCGATGCGTGGGGCTCCCGATGCGTGGGTACCCACCTGCCTCCCGGCAAGGTCCGCGGCCCACAACGCGCACGCCGCACCTGGGACGGCGACGACGACGACGACGACCACCACGGCTGCCCAGATGTCCAAGGTTTTTTACATTTCCAGTCCGGGCGTTTTTGATACAGTCAACCCGCGTAGTAAGGATGGGCAACCTTCCCAAGGGTACCCTTGCATCCTTGCCTTCTCGGCCCATCCTCGGCCGCTTTCGGTGGCCGCGGCCCGCTCGAAGAGCTTCGACATGGGCGTCCAAGGCCCTTGCATCCTTGTCGCGCATCCTTACTATCTGGGTTGACTGTAGATCAGAGCGTGAATTACCTACCCCGCTTTCGCTTCCAGGCAAAACCAGGTCATACCACGCGCCTCCCCGTCGAGTGGCCTGACCAGTGCGTGCCGTAGTCTGGCATCGCTTGGTAGCCCTTGGAAGCGAGGGTGGTCAAAAGCGAGGTAGGTTCTCACCACCCACCAAACCACCCCAACCCAACCCGAAGGTCTCGTTTTGCCCTCCATTTCCAGTGGGGGGGGGGGGTCCGGGAACATCGAAAAAACACATGGAGCCCATACCCCCCCCAACCCGAAATTCGGGTCTTTGGGTTGGGTTGGGGTGGTCTGGTAGGTAGTCAGGCTCGTTTGCCCCCTAGTAGATCTCGGCCTCTTGCCATGGGCCCGCTGCCGGGCCCCGCGGCCATCCGACGTGGACCCGGGACGGGAAGCTGTCCCCGAGGACCGTCGCGGGGCCGCGCGCAGAGGAGGAGCTCGCGGCGTCGGCTCCCCGGGCCCAGCAGGCTCTGTAGCGGTGGGGACAGAGGCGCTCCCCGGACCTTCCAGAGAGCTATTGTTTCAGCACGGGAGGCCTAAGGAACCAAGAAACACGAAACGCAACAGCCTGAAACCGAGACACAGAACAGCTCTGGGATAGGTTTTTCAGTCGCGTGCTATGTTTGCTGCCCTCCTGGAAGGTCAGGGTCCAGAGTCCTCCGCGACGGCCGTTGCCCCCGACACGTCCCCGGGCCCGGCTGGCCCTCAGAGAGGCCCGATGTATCCCAAAGTCGGGCTTGTCCCTCTATAGAGGGGAATATTCAAAATAGTTAAAAAAATGTCTGACTATGTTTTGATTGTTGTTTGACCTTTTGGGACATTTTTTTCTTCATATTTTTCATTTCTTCGAAAATCCCCCTGTAGGGGGACACGCCCGACTTAAATGTATCCCCATCCGGACTTAGGGTCGGGAACGTGTGCTGAGCGTGTCGCTTCGCCGGAGCCTGCCTCCGACAACACCCCGGAGTGCTGCACGCCCTTGAGGGCTATGTTGCCCCCTATCGTGCTTAAGAGCCACATCCCAGAGATACTTTCGAGCACCCAGAACAAGAGCATCGAAACGGTGTCGATCGAGTAGCGCCTCCCAGGGCCCGGCACGTCGATCGAGTAGCGCCTCCCAGGGCCCGGCACGTGAAAACCACACAGTTTCGGTATTTCCTCCTTGTGCTCGAAATTCTTCTCTCTGGTAATCGATGCCAAGGTCGGCTGGAACATCATAGTCTGAGGGCGCTTCTGCCGTCCACGGCCTCCCAGGCGGGAGTTCAAACATGACCACCGCCTGGAGGATCAACCTCGGGGATCTCGGCAGGCGGTGGACATGGTCATATTCGGACCCCCAGGGGCCCCAATTATATCCATGTCCGCCGCCTGCTGGGGCACCAGGACGTCGCTTCCCAGGCGATGGCTATGGATACTTCGGATGCAACTTCTGGGAGGTCAGATTCTGATTTTGCCCTGGTCCGAAGTCCGGCTTAATCTGGCTGAATCCCGCTTAATCCCGTTCAATCCCGCTTAATCCGGCTTCATCCCGCTTAATCCGAGGCCCACTCTGGCGTAGCAGCCCCGGAATGAGGCTTAATCCTCCTTAATCTTTCCGACGAAGACCTCCCGGCAGTTGCTTCCTAATCCATGCCCACCGCCTGCTGGGGCACCAGGACGTCGGCTCCCAGGCGGTGGATATTTACCAGCCTGGAACATATCCCTATCCCTATCCCTATGCTGGGCACCTCCTCATCACGATGCCAATCTTAGGGATCCCCCTATTTTTTGAAGGCGAATCCCTAAGATTGTCATCGCCTTTGGGCGTGTCAATCTTAGGGATTAGGGATAGGAGAACGTTCGAGGCTGGTAAGATATGGATCAATCCCCGCCTCGCACGACGGCCCTCCCCGGGCCCTCCCCGGCCGCCTCTCGGAGTGCCCTGGTGGCCTCCGTGCCCCCCGGGGTCGCACCGCAGCGGCCCCGCCGCGGCGCCACGCGGCCGCAGAGCTTGGCTCCGGGGCGCCGCCGATCCAGGAGGTGCTTCTTCGCCGGGCCTGGCCTCCAGTCGGGCGTGTCCTCCCACAGGAGGGTTGTTTGACGAGATATATAAATAGTCAAAGCACGCCCCCCTAAAACATCGAGCAGCTCATAGATCGACTACACGTAAGAATGACCTTTCGCCGGAGTGACCTTTGGTGCGGGCCCAAAAGGGCCCCCCGATCGCCGAACGCGATGGGGTAGTAGCGTCTTGCGCGCTCGTATTTCGGCCCCCGCGGTCCCCCCAAAGCCGCGCACCAAAGGTCACTCTTACCCAGGGTCACTTCTTCGTGTAGCCGAATATACTTATCCCAGTGCGACCCTACCTAGGAGTTGGAGCATTTAGGAAAGCAACATCTACATCTACACCGTCAACTACATTTACACCTACACCTGCATCTACATCTACATCAACATCAACAGCGAGACTCACATCTACATCTACATATACATCTACACCTACATATACATCTACATATACACATACATCTACATCTACACCTACATCCACATCTACACCTACACCTACACCTACATCTACATCTACACCTTCACAATGGTGTTGCTTTTGTATTGAATTGCCTTTGCGTTTGCTCGTGCCTTTACCTTTGCTTTTGCAGTTGCTATTGCTTTTGCTTTGCGGTTGCTTATGCTATGATATGCTATGCTATGTTTTGCTATGTTGCGCTATGCTATGCTAGGCTATGATTTGCTAGGGTACGCTCGGCTGCGCTGTGTTATGTTAGGCTATGCGATGCCATGCTCTGCTGCGCTATGCGATGGTATGCTATGCTATGCTGCGCTATGCGATGCTATGCTATGCTACGCGATGCTGCGATATGAAATGCTAGGCTATGGTATGATATGCTATGCTGCGGTATGGTATGCTATGCTATGCTGCGCCATGCGATGCTAAGCTATGCCATGACATGATGTGGTATGAGATGCTATGCTGCGATGTGTTTTGATAAGCAATGCTATGCAATGCTATGCTACGCTGCGCTAGGCTATGCTATGTTATGCTATGCTGAGCTATGCTTGGCTATGCTATGCTATGCTATGCTGTGCTAATGTTGCGCTAAGCTAGGCTAAGCTAAGGTAAGCTAAGCTATGCTAAGCTAAGCTAAGCGAAGCTAGGCTAAGCTAAGCCAAGCCCAGCTAAGCCAAGCTAAGCTAAGATGATATAAGCAAAGCTAAGCAAAGCTAAGCTAGGCTAGGCTAGGCTAGGCACAGCTAAGCTAAGCTAAGATGATATATACTAAGCTAAGCTAAACTAAACTAAGCTAAGCTAAGCTAAGCTAAGCTGGGTTAACCCAGGGGGGCGCAACTGGGGGAACCGCGGGGCGAATGCCGGGGGAACCGCGGGGCGGATCCTGGGGGAACCGCCCGGGGCGTTTTGCACTGCCCGGCCCCTTTAAGCCAACAGGGTAAGAACCCTTCTAGGCAGAGCCTAGGTCGGGAAAAAACGCCCCCATCTCATCTTAATCTATTTTGACTCGTCGTGCAGGAGGATGATTCAAGACTAGCTTAAAATCAAACTTGGGACGCTTTTTCTACTATCTGTTTTGATTATTTTGGGGTATGTGTTGCCTATGTCTTATTTCTCGCCCGAAACCCGCCCGTAGGAGGACATACCCGACCTGAGCCTGGCCCATCACGCATCGGACGCGCGGGTGGTGTGTGGGGTGTGGCCTCGCTGAGGGGAGCAGGGCCCCTTCGGGGGCCCTTGGGGGCCCCCACTGGCTCCAGCAGGCCCCTTTGAGTGCCCTTCTCTCCCCCCCCCCCCCCCGGAAGGCCACGCCCCGCTATCACTAAATCGGGCCTGTCCCTCGGGGAATATTTCCGCGCCACTCTTCGGGCCGCATCGAGCTCTGATCTGAGGGTCTGAATTGGGCGACAACGCTCGGCTCGTCGGTCTCAAAAGGTTGGCGTTGGCGACCACGGCGACGCCGGGCGCGACGACGACCACAACGACGTCGAGGGCGCCCATAGGGCGGCGGTCAGCGGCAGTCTCCGGCGGCGGCGGCGGCCCGCGGGCAGACGCGCGCGGCGGTGGGCGGCGGCAGATGCGGCGGAGGGCGCCGGGGGCGGCGGAGGCCTGCAGATGACCTGTGACGGGTGCGAGCTGCAGGACGCCGACATCTGGAGGGGCCGTCCGGGGCCTCCTCCTCCCTTTCGACTGCAAACAAGCCTTGGGAAAGTATTTGTGGTTCCTCCTCCTCCTCCTCCTCAGGCTAAGGGGCCTCCTCCTCATCCTCATCCTCCTCCTCCTAGGAAAGCCTGAGGGGCCTCCTCCTCCTTTTTACGTGACACAAGCCTTCGGCACGTGTCTGTGGCTGTGTTGACGGTAACACACTACAGACCTACGCGACTCGGCTCAAAAAGGGGACCTGGCGGGCGCCGCGTGCAGCTTCCTCCTTCGCCGTAGCCATGTTGGCTCAAGTTCAAGCCACGGGACCGCGGCGGCTTGAGCTTGGTCGCAGCCGTGAAGTCTGGGTCGAGGCTGCCTGGCATGCGTTCTTCCCTGCGTCGCACGATCCTCTTTCGCGCCGTTCTTAGTCATCCTCGAGTTACAAGGGGGTCAGAGGTCCAGCAGGTGCAGCAATTCTGAGCTTTCGACGACTAGGATGGCGACTCGCGTTTCCGTTTGAGGTGGAAGTTGACATTGGTTTTGTCTATGCCTTCACGGACGCCCCGCTTAGACTGGTCCAGGATTTATTTCAGAGGGTTTGGGACAACTGGAACAACCTCAGGGCCACGGGTAAAGCTGGGCGTGGCGCGACGTGCGGTGTCCAGGGCATTCTTGGGGTACGTTCCGATCCAGCGGCGGCATGGGTCTGACGCATCCTGTGTGGGGGCGGCCTGTTTTCCCAAATTCACAGCCAGACCAGCTGAGAACGAAGAACGCACAAAAAAAGGGTAGCACGCCGACGTGTTGTGACCTCCTCCTCCTCAGCATAGGAGGAGGAGGAGGAGGAGGAGGAGGAGGAGGAGGAGGAGGAGGAGGAGGAGGAGGAGGAGGAGGAGGAGGAGGAGGAGGAGGAGGAGGAGGAGGAGGAGGAGGCGAACATCTCCACTGTTCGCCTCAGAGGTCTTCAGTTTCGTGGTCAACCGGGCAGCAGGACGAGGCCTTCACGACCTGCTTTGGTGTGCCGGCAGCGTCGTGGGCGGGCCCGAGGGAGCCCGAAGGCCACCCGCACAGGGCGAGGGACCTTCCCTCCGGCGCCGCGGAGACTTACTGCGTGAAGCACGTACGCGCCAACGTCATCTCAGTCAAGCAAGGGCGCCCATACTCTGGCTGCTGAAGGAGTCGCCGGAAGGAAAGGCAGAATGCACGCTCGGCTGCTCTGGCGTCTCGAATTCGATGGCGCTCGCGACCCGCGAGGATGTGCATGACCTGACCAGCCTCGACGATGTTGGTATTTCTTTTGTGGGGCGAAAGATGGTCGCGAGGCGGGGGGGGATTCTGTGAGGATCGCCTCCTTGCTCGCGATGCTGAACGCGATCTGACGGCTTCCCGAAAAGGGATGAGGGCTTGCGCTCGTCCCAGTATCTCTCGCCCCCGTCCGTCTCTCGCTCCCCCGCCGCTCCTGTTCTCCTCTTGCCTCGGGATCGCCTGCCCGTCTGCGCGTGGGATGCGGCTGCCACGTACGGCGCGGTGAGCGGGGCTCCTGTGCTGCAGGCTGGGCGTTTCAGCAGCACCTTCCTCCGTCTTGTGAAGCAGCGCGGTGCTCTCTTGCATCCAGGAAGCGCACGGGCACTCAGGGGATATCAGTACTCTCCCCCGTCTCCTCCCCCACCATCGTTGTGTTGGCTCCTTCTGCGAAGGTGGGATCAGCGGTGGCGTCCTCGTCTGCGTCCTTGAACGGCTGCACATGCGCTTCGGTACTTTTGATGCAAGGAGCACACAGACTGGCAGGTGTGCTGCTTGGGAAATGGAAGGTCCTCGTTGCTCTGTGTCTCCATGTACTTGGCCCCTCACCCCCACATGCAGTACTGCTGCCAAGCAATAGCACTTGCTTAAAAGCCGCGCGCTTGCTCGACCCCACTCACTCGACCGCGATTGTCGGAGTAGGTAGTAAGTCTCGCCACCGTGCTGACCCGGAGCTTGATCGTGCCCTTTCGGGATCGCTTGCTAGTGGATTTGGTCGGTAATTCGTTCGATGCACGGGAGTTGCCCGATACAGTCGCTCGCGCAGCACAATGGTACCTTTTATGGGCATTGCACGCCTTGGTCGAACATACACTTGCATGCCTCCCTCAGTCACTTTGGGTTCTGCGCCTGCTGCTGGAGTCGAATGGCAGCCGGCCGAGCTGCGGGACATCAGCGACCGTTCTGCGCCGGGTGTTACGCCAGCAGCGCTTTCGTCGCTGACGCGCCTGCCCGAGTTTGGCAAGAATGATGGGCCTGCTTTCCACCGCCACCGCTATAACTTGGAGGGGGGAAAGGCTGGAAGGGGTCCTCCTCCTCCTCCTCCTCCTCCTCACCATCATCCCCCTGTTCGTCCCCGTCCTCTTCCCCCCATCCATCTAACGGAAAAGGCCCATCAAATAATGCGGGGGAAGCGATCGTTTGACGTGGCATCTCTGGTGAGCCGGCTGCCGCCGCGCAAGGAGTCGACTCTACGCGCGCGTGGTAGCCAGCGGTTTGCGCGTGGGCGCGCGTGCCTCGAACCAGACATGCAGACGTCGTCAGGTCGCGCGACGCACGAGCTTCGATCGCGCGCGGCGGCAGCAGAAGGCTCAGACAATTACGCTTGCAAATTTAACATGAATTAATTCATCCTGAATTTACAAACATAGGTTTTTTAGTGAATTTGCAGGCGTAGAAGGACGCAGGTTAACTTAATTCAAAAGTTGTCATACTTCTAAAATTTAGGATGAGTTTAAGTCATCCTAAATTTGCAAGCTAATTTAACAATTTTCAAATTCAATATATTGAGCAATAACATGCTCGACTGCATTAAAGAGCTAGGCTGATTTTCCCGCCTCTCTGAGTTCGTGAGCTCGGATGCTACATTGGTCGGCCCCAGCCGCTTTTACGCGTTCGTTGCCGCCCTCATCCGCCTCGAGTTTGAAGAGGGTGGGGCTCGTTCGCGACGCATCCATGCCCCCGGAGGCAAGGACTATTGGGCTTGCTGAGATCGAAAGGTTGTCCAGTGTTTGGGCCCCCCGTCGCAGTCAAGCGGCGCCCCGGAGCGTCGCGGGCCCCGAGGGCCCCCTCGCTCCAGGCCGCTCAGCGTGCTGACCTCCTCCAAGACCGCGGGGCCAAAGTGGCGATGCTTCCCCCCCCACCCCGCGTGCAGAGCACAGGGCAACTCGCCCCCTGAGGGGGGCCCTTCAGGGCGCCACTGGGACATTGGGCCCCGAGCAGATCAATGAAATGCTGAACCGCATGAAGAAATGGAGTCCTGGACCGGACTGCGTTCCGCGCGCTGGCTGGACAAATGGAGCCCCCATTGCTAGGCTTGCGTTTTGCCGACGCTATCTGCGCTCCCTGAATTCCGGAGAGATCCCGCCAGCACGCGGCGATTCCTTTCTTTTTAGTATTGTTTTTTTCTGCCTGGGGAGGCGCTGGAAGCGAGCCGCGTTTTTTTTGGGGGGAGGGGGGGGGCCGCGGGCGCGCGACCACTGGCGCCTGGCAGCAACGAGGGCGAGCTTCCCTGCAGCGCGCCAGTCCCGCCGCTGGATCATGTGGCCAGACAACCGATCGATGAGGATCAGCGCGGATTTGTTGGTGGGCGGTCTCTCTAGGTGATGGATGCTCCAACGCCTCCGCTCCGACTACAGCCCCTGCACCAATCTCAACACTGGCACCTACGCCGACACCAATACCAAAGCCCACCCCAGCACCGACGCCACCGACATCCGACGCTTGCTCTCCATCTCCGGCTTCACCTCCACCCGCCCCATTCCACCATGCGGGCCGTGCATGCGCACCTCCATCTCAGCTCCGACTCCTGGCCCGACGCCTGCGCCGCTTCCAACTCTACCTTCGCGCGCGGGCTTTTGTCTGGTTTGAGCCCTCAACGGCCGCCGACTCCAGCACACCGCCGACTCCAGCTCACCAGCGACCGAATTCGATGCGCGACCTGCGCGCAGGGAGTTGAGCTGCTGGGCCCACGACGCACCGGTACCACTACCCGCGCCCGTCACCCTACAGCCTCCGCCCTGGCACGGGGACGGCTACCTGAAATACTTGACGTGGCTCCGACGGTCATCATGAGTCGCAGCGCCAAGATGGACAGGGAGGTCTTGACATTGGTGCCGGGGTGCGACACAATGGTGGCGTGGCGGCGGGGTGAGCCACTCTCCCGCGCGCTCCCTCCTTGGCGGGGCCTCCTCCTGGTTTCTCCTTCCTCCTCTTGTGGGGTCCGATATCTGCTGCTCTGCGCAGAGGGGGCGGGAATTGTCCGCTCCAGCCGGCGCCTGCGGTAGGCTGGGGTTTTACTTCGTTTCTCTTCGTGTTTGTCAACGCGCTGGGCGATCTAGGTGCTTGCCCTGGGAACTGCAGCGCACGCGTCCTCAGCGGCGCGCTTCTTGGGGGACCGCGGGCGTCAGGCTTGCTTAGCGCTGTCGTGTGTAGGTGAAGGTTGCAGTGGCAGTGCGAATCTTCTCGCTGTGCTGGCTGAGGCGTGGTTAGACATGATGGGGCTGTGCTTCGTGGAGAAAATGAAGGTCTTCCTAGTGCTGGCGCGGCCTTCTATGGTATGCGCCGGGCGTTCCTGAGCATTGCGCGCGCATGGGTGCTCTATGCGTTGGAGACAGAGGAGCGCCCCCGATCGTGCCAGGAATGTTCAGAATGCCTAGATCGCTGCATGGGAACATGCAACGGGGAACCCCAGGGCTTAATCCCTCCACCAAAGCCAAAGACTACGCCCAGGTAGAGCCCGAAACGGCAAATCCTCTGGCATCGGCAACTCTCAATTTTTCAGCCCGGCGGTCCTTGCGGGAGAAGGACTCCGCTTCATCTGAATGCGACGTAAGCTTGCACTTCTCGGCGAGCAAGGATAACCCTGCGTCGCGAGCAAGACGGGGACAAAGTGTAATGCCATAGCTTTGCGCGCGGTCGTATCCAAAACGGCGATGCCCGCGTCGTCTGCAAGCGCGAATATGCGGGCGCGAACAGGCTTCGCGCCATCCTTAACCCAACGCAGCCAAGGATCGAGAGCGAGACCAAAACAAAACAAAGGGGGGGCATCCTCGTTCTATCCCATCGGTGAGTCGGATTCTGCATAACCCGCGCCGTTGAACATGACGTCCGTTCAGGTCAAGCAGGAAACAATCACATGTATGAAATCATTGACAGCCTGTGACCCAGCACACTGCCTAGTTCTTCGCAGCGAACAATAGATGCGTCTCTGCGGAGGGAGAGGCGTTGCAGCAGCTACCGCGTGCGCCGAGACATTCGCTCGCAAACGCTTCAGAATGGGATCTCGACTCTTTTCGGATCAGTTATTTTGCGCGCCGCCTCTCCCATCATGCCCGCGCTGCCCAGTGCCGTGCAGCTCTTAAATATGATGGGTTTCGTCGCATCCGTGATCTCTCCGACATTCCCAAGTATGATGATGACTGTACGCTGACGTTCATGGCCCTCCCCGACTTATCGCTCCTCGGCTTTAATCGGCGTGTTGAACACTGTCGACGGTCTGCTCTTCCTCCCCTCGGTCCCTTCACCGCTTTGTCCTGGACTTCAAGGGCGACGTCGCCCGCGAATTCGTTCGTCTCTTTCTCCCCATTTCTCTCGTGCCCCTGCTTTTCGTGCTCGTCTGCAGCATAAGACCTCTATCACCCATGACCAGGCTGACCTGGCCAGTCTCAGGCGTGCGATCTTGCAGAAAACTCGGCTCTCGCATCGCCTGCTCGGTCTTGAAAACCATGGTCAATGCTTTGGCCACGTCCCGCCCGTTTCCGAATGGCCGCCTGAGGTGTAAATTCGGATCTTCTGTTGTAGATGGTGATGATATGTCCCATTTTTCGATGTGCCCGTGTATGCTTCCGACGGTCCGTTCCTTCGTTCCCGCTCTGCCCGTCGATTGGGGTGAAGACCCTTTTTGTTCCAACCTGTTCGTTTTAGTCTGCGTGAACGTCGAGGGTGGCTCCCGTTTTCTCTCGATCGGCCTGGCGCTTGGTAGGTTGCGCGGCGCCTTGAGAGCCAGCAGCGTGCCAGCGGGTCAACAGGACCACAAGAGCTGCTCGCCTCGCGCTCCGCGCCCGTCCCAGCGCCCAGAGTCTCAGATGAGAGACTGCCTGCGTGGCTCGTTCAGGTCCTCCTCGTCCTCCTCCTCCTCCTCGCCTCATTTCCGCCCGCTCAGGTTGGCCCGTCTAGTCCTTCGTGGGGCTGGCTGGGACCCTCTCGCTTGTCCTCTGGGCCCTCCTCTTGGCCGGTTCGTCCCCCTCCCCTCTCTTCCCAAGTTGTCTGGTCGTGGCTCCTCCTCCTCCCCCGCCTCCTCCTCACTTCGGGCGGCCGGTTACGTGGGGCAACCAAATTGATGGGGGGGTCGAGGAGTGCAGGAAAGACGCCCTATAGAGTGGCCCTTCCGGACCTCGCGTTCATTGTCATTATGTTACCTCAGCAGGAACGAGACAGACAGAAATCAACGTCCGTGCCCAGGAGAAGATGGGCAACCAAGGGAGACAGAGGGGTCGGCGAAAAACCAGAAAGCACCGAAACATACCGGGGATCCTGGGACGCGTGTCTATGCATTTGTGGGTGGCCCCTTCGCTCGCCGCTCGCCGTCGGGGCACCGGGGTCCCGAGGTGGCCGCGTCGTCGTCATCGTCGTCGTCCATCCTCCATCCTCCGCCCTCCGTCCTTCATCCTCTGTCGCCCGTCGCCCGTCGTCGGCGTCGTTCGTCCGCGCTCCTTCCTGCCCCGTCCCCCCCCCTGCTCCCGCAGCTCCCGCGGTTCCTCCATCGTGGGGTCCCCCAGGGACCCCCCCCAGAACCCCCCCCGAGGCCTCCCAAGCACCTCAGCTGGAAGGAGGGAGGCGAACGTCGAGGGTGGCTCTCGTTTTCTGTCGATTGGCCTGGCGCTTGGTAGGTTGCACGCTGCCTTGAACGAGCACAAAGAGGTGTTCGACTCGCGTTCCGCGCCCGTCTCCGCGCCCAGATTCCCAGATGAGAGAGTGCCCGCTCAGGGACCCCCCCCCCAGAACCCCCGCAATCCCCCCACCCGAGGCCTCCCAAGCACCTTAGCTGGAAGGAGGGAGGCGGGCGGGATGGAGGAGGGGCCTTCTCGCGTTCTCAGAACCGGTTGTGGAGGTTTCGTGGAAACGCAGACCGACGACGACAGCGAGGACGACGACAAGGGCTGCGACGACCCTCGTCCGGCGCGTTCCGACCAGCGTCTCGAGGCCGCTCCAGCCGTGGTTACGACGGGGCCCGAGGAGGTTCGACCACGCATGCAGCGCAGACGGCAACCCTGGTCGATCCCTGGACCTGCCCATGGCTCGCCCTGACCAGAATCTCGAGGCGGCTTCAGCACTTCGAAGAAGAACGAGCAGCACAAACAAGAACGTGCGGAGGCCCGCGCGGATTTCTTCGAGCGGCTCTTGAGCACCCTGGCGGCGACACCGGAGATGCCCCTGGCGCCCCCCGCGCGCAAGGGAGGGGGACCCACCACCGATCCAAGAAATCTGCGTGGACCTCCGAAAGGTTATTCTTCAATCATGCTCTTCTTTGAGCTCATGGCCACACGGGCGCCCCTGAAAGCCAGACAAGGGCAAAACACGCCTAGTAACCTCGACCCTGGATCCTTGGACAGGGTCGAGAGCGACGACGACGACGAGGACCGAGGACGGGGTCGGGAGGGCGAGGGGCAGGCCGCCCATGTGGATCATCTTCACGAAGCAGTTTGAGCTGGGGCTGATGGGGATGCCGCAGATGCGCCGCGCCCCCCCGAAGCGGCGTTGCCGTCGTCGTCGTCGTCGCCGTCGTTGTCGTCAATCTCGTCGCCGTCGTCGCGAATCGACGGCCGAGGTTTCCATCCGTTTTTTTTTCAACTGGGCTTTGCCCAGGGTTCTCTCGCGAGTTCGTGAAAGGACCGGCGCGCCCAGCGGCGCTTGTCACAGAGGCGGCCCCTGCAGGTTCCTCGGCTTTCCCAGTGACCCCGCTGCCTCCGTTCCTGGGGGCTGCCCCCGGTTGCCCGGTTTGGCGAGTTGCACGGTTGTCGGGTTTCCCACTGCTCCTCGGGGCTGCCCAGGTACCCAGTGGAGCATTGTCACGCAATTCCATGGAATGCCAAGCAGTGCCAAGCAACGACAGGCAATGTCAAGCACTGCAGAGCAATGCCTAGCAATGCTGAGTAATCTCAGACAACGCTTTCAAATAATGATAAGCAATGCTCTGCATAGCACTGGTTGTCATTGCTCAGAGCTGCTGTGAATTGCGTTGAGAGAAAGAGGACCCTGATTTGGGTCCCGCTGGGTTCATGTGTTTTTCTGTCTCCACAGGCTTGGTCGAAATTTGGGGTAATCTTCTGACGCGACGGAGGAGAAAGTGAAGAGTACCTGCAATGAGGCGGGGGTCAAGGTTGGGGCCAGCAAGAGGAGGAAACGATGAGCAGACAAGAGGATAAATTTGAGGAGAACGCAGAGAGTCGGATGATAAGCTAGGTGTGTTCGCGCCAAGCTTGACATTCTAACTACCCCTTCCTCCTCCCCCCATCCCTTGTCATGGCGCTGAATTCATCTCTATATGCCGGCTGCGGTGTTCCAGATGACCCTGGCCCCCACAGTGACGCCATCGTGTGGTGCGTTCTCAGAGGGTGGGGGGGACGTACATGGAACGATGAGGAGGAGCAGGATGAAGAGCATGACGATGAGGAGGACGGAGGAAGAGCAGCAGCAAGAGCAGGAGGAGCAGAACGAGCAGGAGTGCCAGGGCCCACAGAAAGGCGGAGGAGGGCCGAGGAGGGGAACGGCAACGACAAGGAACGAACCAGCTCCAGAGATGTGGCCCCGTGCTTGAGTTCAGTCGGGCATGCCCCTCTACAGGAGGAGTATTCAAAGATAGTCAAACATAGTCTGGGGACGATGTGCTGGGTTTTTGTGACTTTCTGAGCATCGATTTGGTATTCGTTATTTTTGTTTCGTCCAAGATCCGCCAGTGGGGGGACATGCTGCCCGACCCGATGCTTCGGGCGAGGGCGCAGTTCCTGAGCGACGGCCGGCACTGCAGCCGGGCACGGCCTGGAAGGAGCGGGCCGGAAGCCAGATGAGCGTCGCCAGACATCGGGCGGGTGGTAAGAGGCATATGGCCTGGACGACCCCAGGTAAGGGGACCCCATTAGCAGTAGGCCCCTGGAGCCCCTAATTTGGCCAGGATCACTGAACCGGGTCTGCCGTACCTGGAGTTGTTTCGAGTGGCGGCAGTTCTGGTGGGTGGAGCTGGGCGGGGGGGCCGTCCACCAGTACACATCACTGAACCAGGTCCCAGTACACCCCTCCTCCTCCTCCTCCTACTCCTCCTCCTCCTCCTCCCTCCTCATCTCTCCTCCTCCCTCCTCCTCCCTCCTCCTCCTCCTCCCTCCTCCTCCCTCCTCCTTCCTCCTCCTCCCTCCCTCCTCCCTCCTCCCTCCTCCCGTTCTGCCAACGCCCGAGTAAGGGGTGGGGCGGCCCACGTGGGAAATGAAGAACAGGGCCCCCAAAAGGGGCCTTTCCGGGACCCTTTGGGAGCCCGTTGGTGCCCCAAAGGGGCCCTTTAAGGGCACCTTCAGGGTCTTTGTCTTCATCCCCGATTTGGATCACCCTCCTTTACCACCCTCAGGAGGGGAGAAAACACACAGACACAATTAATCGTCGATCCCCAAGAAAATATGTGAAAATATTGGAATTGGGCGGGAAGACAAAAACCCAGAAAATATGAGAAAATATGGGGAATCATTTTATTTGTGTGTATTTATTTGTGTGTTTTTGGGCCCCTTACCACCCTCCCGGAGGAGACCAGGTGCGTTGCGCCGACATTCGCGCGTAAGTTGCCCGCGTGAGGTTGCGCGTAAGCGCCCTCGTCTCGAATGGGGCGCGCCGCGCTGGCGGCCCGCGTAAGCCGCCGCGCAAAATCGCTGTGCCATCTTTCTCGTAAGACCCCTTGATCGCTCAGATAGTGTTGAAAGCCAGCTCGGGACAAACCCGTGTGCAAAAACAACAGTGTGCGAGGTAGGTGGGGGCAGACAGAGATAGCGAGATGCGGAAGGAGGATCATGAAGATGGACTGGGTGGGGAGAGGATGCGTCGACCAGAAAGCAAGGGGTTCAGAGGAATGTGGTAGCGGGGAGGAGGACTAGATAATGATAACGGCAAGGTGGATAGAAGGACGAGGATGGATAAGGAGAACAGGCGCACAAAAAAGGACAGCTGCAGGATGAGGAGGACAGAGGTCGATGTGGTGGAGAATTCTCGAGAAGGGCAGCAGCCGGATGCGGAGTGGGAACGAGGTTGTTCGCCCTTCTGCCTGCACTTGTCACGCCATGCCCCATCCTCTCCTTGCCGTCCCGTGCCCGACGTCATCGTGATCGACAATCCTCCCCTGGTCGTCGTGGTCGTCCTCGTGCTCGTTCTCGTCGTCGTCGTCGCCGCCAGCGCCGTCAACGGCGTCGGCTTCCCCCTCACCCCCTCCCATTGCCACCGCTCATGTTCCCGCCCCTCACGTTCCCTCTCCCTCTCCTCCTCCTCCTCCTCTCCTCCTCCTCCTCCTCATCCTCCTCCTCTCCTCTCCTCCTCCTCCTAGTCCTCCTCCTCCTTCTCCCTGCTTCTCCCTCCTCCTCCTGCTCCTCCCTCCTTCTCCTCCTCCTCCCTCCTCCTCCACCTCCTGCTCGTCCTCCTCCTGCGGCTCTCCTCCCCGTGTCCCTGCCCTCCATTCGCCGCCTTCTCCCCCCCCCCCCTGCGACGCATGTCTCTCTGTATGTCTCTCTCTCTCTCTCTGTCTCTCTCTCCCTCTCGCTCTCTCGCTCAGGCCTACGCCTGTGTCATTGTTTTTTGTTTCTAGTCGATCGACGTTTGTCTTCAGCCGTGCATTCATTCATTGATCCACTCTCTCTCTACCTCTCTCCGTCTCACCCCTCTCTCGCTCTCTTCCTTCCTGCCTGCCGGGGGGCTGCGAGAGTGTGTCCTTCCATCCGTTTTCGGCGCACTTGCAGCTCCTACGGCGCCGGCGTCTCGAAGCAGTGCGGTCGGCAGTGTGCTTCGCTTCTCCTCACGGCTTCCTCGGCCCTCCCTTGCCGAAGGCTGATGAAGGGCGACTTCGGTGGTCTCGAGAAGGCGACCTTTTTCGGAGGAGGTTGAGCGGGGGAGGGGGGCGGTTGGGCAGCACCGTATTCGGATGTAGTGCGATCAGCGACAGCGACGGGAGGAGGGGCAGGTAGCCAAGTAGGGGATGGAGGAGGAGAAGGAGGAGGACGAGGAGGAGGAGAATGAGCGCTGGGTCTGGTGTTTGTTTGGGGATGTCTCTCTTGGGCCTCTAGGAGAACTCTTGGGGGCATGTGGGGGGCTTTGGGGGGCCTCTGGAGGGCTTCTTGGGGACGTCTTAGAGGCCTCATGAGGCTTCTGCGTGAGTTGCTCATTATCCAACATGTGTGAGCGTAACATTACGTGGTCAACGGCACATCGACTGTAATGGCGTCAGCAGGGCTAAAAGTAGGAAGAGGAGTCGGGGATGAGTTGGAGGAGGAGGAGGAGGAGGAGAGGGAGGACACACAACGACTGTAATGATGTTGAGGGAGGAAATGCAAAAACCGAGGAAGGTGCGATGAGGAAGGGGGACGGTAGACGTCGAGAGAGGGGGAGGAGGAGGAGGAGGGAGGATTAGAGGTGGGAGGAGGAGGCCGAAGGCTGCGGAGGAGGGGAAAAACCGAGGGGGGAGCCTGGGAGGGGGGGGGTCAAGGGAGCGGGAGGAGGCGCACAGGGGGGGAGCTGCGGAGGGAAGCGGGCGAGAGGGGGAGGCGAGCGGAGCCCTCGGCCGAGCTGGGAGCAGGCGACCCTCGGCTTCGAGATGCGCCCCTACGTCAACATCACCGTCACCCGCGACGGCAACGCGACGGAGGAGCCGCGAGGGGCGCTGATCCCCAGGGGCTCACTGGCCTCTCGTAAGTCGGTCTGCGGGGATCAAGCCAGCTTGCATCGAGGTCAATCCAACTACACCGACGCATTCATATTGCACCCGAGGGTCCCGTGTTGAACACCACTACAAGGAGCTCGGAGCAACAGTTCGGCGTATAGACGCTCCAGCGTCCCACAGGATTGGCAGCTGGGGCGTATACATATATAGACATATATGTATATATACACATACACCGAGCTCCCTGGCCGATCAAACGACGTGGTGTGTACACCGAGGCCCTCCCCAAATCGAGGTACATCCAGAGACCTCCAGGGACATCGGGAGCACCTCGAAGGCGCCCCCGCGCGGGTCGAGGGACAGCAGAAAAGTCGTGAAGCCTTGGACGAGCTTGAGAGGAGCATCGAGGATCTGTGGCCGAGGGCTTTTCGGATATTCTGCCCAGTCCTCCTCCTTCTCCTCCTCCTCCTCCTTCTCCTCCTCCTCCTCCTCCTTCTCCTCCTCCTCCTCCTTCCCGCCTCCTCCTCCTCCTCCTCCTCCTCCTCCTCCTCCTTCTCCTCCTCCCCCCTGAACGCTGCCCCTGCGGAAGACACAAAGCTTTCGTCCGGCCCCACGGGACCAGTCACCGCACGGGCCTCGCGGCCCCGGGCGCAGCGCAGCCAGCCCCTGCGGCGCACCGCCGCAGGAGAGGGAGGCCGGAGGAGGGCACGAGCACAACGAGCAGGAGGACGGGGTTGGAGGCGGAGGAGGCGTAGCATCCTCACCCTCTTCGTCGTCCTTGTCCCTGTGCTCCTCCTCCTCTTCCTCCTCCCTCCTCCTCCCTCCTCCTCCTCCTCCTCCTCCTCCTCCACCTCCTTCTCCTCCTCCTCCTCCTCCTCCTCTTCCTCCTCCTCCTCCTCCCCCTCCCCCTCCTCCTCAGACATTCCAGAAGCCCCCGGAACCTCCCAGGTAAAAACCGTCATCCGGCTTATTCCCAGTGGGAGCGGCACACCAGATCTTGAGGTCCAGGGCGGCAGCACAGCATGGGCATATTGATATGTACGTAGCACCCCGCAGTTTCGGAGACGAGTGAGGGGGTTGCGGGGACGTCGGCAGTCGGCGAGGCTCTGAAGAGGTCCGCCGCAGACGCCCAAATGATACAACGAGCCCGCCGCAGAAGTCGGTTTGGGTCGCGGGTGGGTTGCGGGTGGGTCGCGGGTGGGCCGTGGGTGGGCCGCGGGCCGGGTCGCGGGTGGGTCGCGAGGTGGGTCGTGGGTGGGTCGCGGGCCGGGTGCGGATGGGTCGTGGGCGGGTCGCGGGTGCCTGGAGACATCTTCCTACCTTTTTCCCGGGCTTGGAAGCAGCGGTCGCGACCAGCCGCCCGGAGCGTCTGCCAGGGCGCGGCGCGTTGGGTCTGGAGTAGGCAAGCCCCGGGCTCGTAGCGCGTGCCTCCTGGCGACGTTTCGGAGCCGACTCGGGAGCAGGGCGACGACGTCGAGTGGGAGAGTCACGTCGACATCTCCCGCACCCCTTGCGGACACGAAGAAAGCTTCTGGTGGAAAGCATGCTGGGCCGAGTCGGCGCAGGAAGGAGCGACGGCCGCGTTGATCAGCAGGCGCTGTATCGGCCGCGTGATCGGCCGAGGATGTCAAAGGTTTTCAGTCGCCGCTGTAGGGGCTCCGAACACATAGACGTCTTGGAATGGAGGTGCGCTCTCCAGCATCGCGATGGCGCGCGCTCGTCGAGCTTCATGCAGGGACCGGCGTTCCCTGCGCCTCATGGATCGCCAGGTGTGTCCGTGGCCCTTGTCACAGCATGCAAGAGTTCGAGCATGCAAGTGAACCGTGCGTTGAAGGAAAGACCCGCGCTGCACGTCGCCGCCAACCTGCATGGCCTTCTTGGTTGCGTCGCGAGCCAGTCCAAACCGGCGGACTTCGGCTCGCGCGCGTTCGACGACGTCCAGGAGTAGCAGGGTCAAGGCCCAGCGACGGCACCAAACAGAGCAGGATCCGGCGACCCTGCTTCACAGGTGGCGGGGCCGCGGACTTTCAAGCGGCAACCGATGCCCCGCAAACGGTTCAGTGAATTTGCGGCAGCGCACCAGTTGCCTCTGCAGACCAGTGTCGAGCTCGACGAGGCGATGAGCTCGAGCCCGACGAAGCGTTGAGCAAACGCACCAAGAAAATTACGGCTTGAGGGGGGTTCGACGGCTGACGCTATTCACGCACATGCGTGACGCATTTTGTCATCAGCTGGAGCCTGCCTGCGAATGGAGCTGAACAGTTTTTGCAAGCATTGCACGAACAAGGGCGAACGGCGAGGGCCTCGCCCTTGAGCCACTATCTGTTGAAGGGGCTGGCTGGCACGCCCCTCATGATGTACCATCAACGCATGGGATGCACTGCAATCCTCTTGTGCCACTGCTGTCTGAGGACAGACGAGGGCCAGAATTCATTTCGCAAGCAAGTTTGTTTGAATGAGAGGCTTTCTTCAGGAGTCATCGTCTTGAAAAAGACGAAGACCAGCTGACGAATGGGCGCAACCAAGAGCGTCATCGATTGCAAAAAGTGGGCCAGTGATACTTCTTGGTTGCTTCACGGCATCAACCCTTACACTAGGCTGGTTGGCACAATGTTTCGCACTTTGTTCGCGCAGGCCCTCCGCGTTTTGTGGCTCGACATTTCGGACTTCGCGCCATAAACTTCGAGAGTGGGTCGGGCGACTTTCCAATTTAGGTCGCACGGGCGCATGGGCAGAACCTTGTCTTGGGGCCGATAGAGCAGCACTGAATCGGTCGGGATTCACTTCCAGGAGGGCGCCATGGCGCTGGCTGGGCGAAGAGCAGCACGATCGGCTGGAAGCGGCAGCCACGTGTCTGCCAGGCTGGAGGGTGTGCAAAAAAAGGCTGCGCGTCTCTCGGGGGGCGGCGGGCGGTGCCCGTTCCCCGCCGGTTATTGGGGTTTCCCTGTGGTGGAGGGAAGCCCCTTTGGAGGGAGGGAGGAGGAGGAGGAGGAGGAGGAGGAGGAGGAGGAACGAGGAGGAGGGAGGAGGAGGAGGGAGGAGGAGAAGGGAGGAGGAGAAGGGGGGAGGATACCCTGCGCGCTCGAGCCCCGACGGGTGGAGGGAAGCCCCTCTGGTCCTCTCCCGGGTCCGTGGGCGGGCGGGCGGCAGTGGCCTGAGGGTCGTGGGACACGACACGGCCACCACACTTCGGCCACGTTCGCATACAGGGTCCGGCTTGAACGAGGAACGCTTGCTTTTCAAAAGGGGCTTGGCCGTTCCCTTGGTTTGCATGCGTTCCGCTTCCTTTTCGGCGGCAAGCCCCCCTGGTGTTCCTTCGGACTTCCTGGACTTACTTGGAAAAAAACATGGGGCTTCGTTGCTTATTTGTCGTTCCATGGGTCAGGCCGAATGATGTAACAGACCCTCGACAGTGACCCCGATGTCGGCCGCTCCTCAGATGGTGACGCAGCCCGACGGCGTCGACCGGCGCACCACTAACCTTCTGGCGGCACATCGCGGAGGAGAACAAAGAGCCAGTGCAAACCGCATCCTTGTCCTAACTTAGATTCGTACCAGTGTGTTGCAAATGCTCCAAGTAGCTAGGAGGGATGTTAGATCATGCGGCCTGTATGGGCGGAGCCCACTTCGGACGGTTTGTTAGCCCCTCTGAGCTATCCAGATCATTAGTATTCGGCCAGGAATTACCCGCCTTGACATATGCTGATCGGCCACATATCCCTTTAGCCCCCACTCGTGCCGATCCCGATCCCGAAGATGAAGACGATGACGATAGTCATGATGATGATGAAAATAATGATGAGGATGAGGATGAGGGTGAGGTTGAGGATGAGGATGAGGATGGGGATGCTGATGGTGATTACGATGATGGTGATTATGATTATGATCATGCTCATGAGAATGATGCTGCTGCTGGTGATGATAATGATTATGGTGGCGGTGGTTGTGGTGGTGGTGGGGGGGCGATGATGGTAGTGATGATGATGATGGTGGTGACGAGGACGACGACGACGTTGGTGATGATGATGATGACGATGACGATGACGATGATGAGGATGATGATGATGATGATGATGATGATGGTGATGGTGATCGTGTTGATGGTGACTGTGATGCTCATGCTGTTGCTGATGCTGATGTTGATGCTAATGATTATGATGATGGTGATGGCGACGACGACGATGCTCATGCTAACGATGGTGGTGATGATGCTGTGCTGGTGAGGATATGAGGTGGTTGTGAAGACGATGGGGATGAAAATGAGGAGGAGGAGGAAGAGGAGGAGGAGGAGGAGAAGGATGAGGAGGAGGATGGTGACCATGATTATGATGATGTGGATGATGATGAGGATGATGTTAATGATAATCATGAGACTGAGGATACTGATGACCAGAACCACGATGATGCAGACGATGGTGGCGATGATGCGTCTGTTGATGTGAATAGTGACGGTACTAGTGATGATGACGACGAAGAGGATGATGGTGAGGGTCGGAATCATGGTGTTTACGGCGAGGCCGATACATGACAAATGGTCAGGACCATGATGATGATAAAGTTGATGATGGCAATGATGCTGGTGACAATGACCGTGACGATGGTGGCGATGATGACGGTGAGTATGATGATGTTGTTGACGGTGATGATGAGGAGGAGGATGTGGATGATATGGGCGCCGCCTCACAGGGGCGAAGATGCCAGGGCCTGGGGGGGCGGGGCGGCAGGGCTCGGCTTCGACGAAGAAGCTCATCGCATACCCCTTTCGCGTGATGGGTCTCGCGGCCTCTGGCTTCGGGAAGAGCTACGTGGTGAAGGTCGGCTCCGCACGGGAGGGTCGAGCGAGGAGCGGGAGGATAGCGGAGACGACACAACGAAAGCGGCAGTCCGATCGAGCGCCTTTGGACGTCTATCCCAGCTTGTGGGCACGGCGCGGCTTATGCAGCAGCAAGGAAACATGCATCGCATAAGGGCAGCAGTCCAGCATACCCCTCAGCTGTATTGCTACATGAACGTCCGCATGCATGACAAACGACAACGTGTTGACAAACAAAACGGAGGTTGTCTTACCTACCGGCGTCTTGAGGCACTCGCCGTGTCTGGTGACCGTCAGTTCCCGGGGAAGCTGTCCAAGGCTTCGGAGACCGTGCATTGACAAAAAACAAGACGTCGGAGGTTTGGGGAGGAGGAGAAGTAGGTAGGAGGAGGGAGGAGGGAGGAGGAGGAGAAGGAGGTAGGAAGAGGAGGGAGGAGGAGGAGGAGGAGGAGGAGGAGGAGGAGGAGGAGGAGGAGGAGTGGGAATGAGCCCTCTGCACCCACGCTGCATTCTCGTTGCGTGGGCCTCGGCCCTCGGTGGCCCGAGGCTTCGACCGCGTCTTCGGGGCTGACCTGTCCGTTCTGATGCGTTTGTCGACGGCGCCGGGGGGCTGGGCAGCGGCCCCCCAGCGGCCGAGCCTGACGAGGAACCAGCCATCCCTCGCGGGAGGGAGCCTGGCGTCGCTCGGACGTGTGTATTGTCTCGGCGGGGATTATCGATGAGCATCCTGGATCATCCTGCGACAAATCACGCGCGAATGGACGTCCGAGCGATGGCGAGCAGGAGTGCCGATGACGCGCAGCCTGCTGCTCGGTCGCCAGCGCCGCAGCGTGCTGCTCTCCGCCGGGAGCCCGTCGGCGCGCTGCTCGCTCGTTTCTTGTCCGAAGCCCTGGTGCTCCGTCCACGGGAGCGCGTGCTGATGGGCCCCCCGCGGCGGCGTGTCGTTGACGTTGCGTCTGCCTGCCAGACCACGGGTTGTGTTGGCGTCGCCCGGAGGGAGCGGGAGGAGCAGGGGGAGCAGGAGGAGGAGCAGGCGAGAGGGCCCGAGGAGGAGCGAAGAGAGAGAGAGAGAGAGAGAGATGGAGAAGATGAGAGAGGAGACAGAGGTAGGATTGGGGGGGAGGAGGAGAAGCAGAAGGATGAGGAGGCGGAGGAGGATTTGGAGGAGGAGTTGTTGTTGTTGGTGAGGAGGAGGAGGAGGAAGAGGAGGAAGGGGAGCGGAGGAGGGAAAGAAGGAGGAGGAGAGGAGGATGAGGGAGGAGGAGGAGGAGGATGGGGCAGGAGGGGGCAGGAGGGCGAGGTGGGGGGCAAACCGGCCCTCCGACACTCAGGTCCGAGGGTCCCGCAGAGGCTCCTCGGGCGCGTCGCGCGTTTTTGGGCTGCCGCCGCCACGACCTGTCGCCGCCACGACCTGGAAGCACAGGGCCAGGACGGTGCCCAGAGCAAAGGTCTGGGGATGCCGATGTTGAGCTGGTTGCCTCCGAAACTGCGATGTACACCAGTGCTGTCCAAACGCATTGTGATCCTCCTCCTCTTCCTCCTCCTCCTCCTCGTCCTCGTCCTCGTCCTCCTCCTCCTCCTCCCCCTCCCCCGCTCCACTTCTCTCCCCTCCTCCTCCTCCTCCTCCTCCTCCTCCTCCTCCTCGTTCTCCTACTTCTCCTCGTTCTCTTCCTTCTCCTCTTTCTCCTCCTCCTCCTCCTCCTCCTCCTCCTCCTCCTTCTCCTCTCTCTCCTCTTTCTCCTCCTCCTACTCTTCCTCCTCGATCGGCGACACGGCCTGTCCATCTTGATTCCCCCCGGCGTTGATTGACATCACATTGAAATGTTGCGGTCGGCAATCTGTGGTAACGCGTCGAGTTGGGCCAGATTTCAGGGCCCCAGAGATCCTGTGTTCCCGCCTTCGCCCCTGCGACCAGCTTCGAGGGCTTATACGCCCGCGCACATGTTCCACCGCCTAGGTATGCAGCCTGTTCCCCGAAAGAAGTCAGCCACCACGCGCAGAGGAGGGGGGGAAGGCTTCTCAGGATCGGCACGGACGAAATAGGTACGGACAGAATGAGTACGGAGCCCAACACCAGTTCCTGCTTTTTTTGAACAGGACTCGCTGCTCGCGCCGCCGCGGACGTTTTCCGTTCGAGACAGAAGGCCGTCCGCCCAACAGCGGTTGTTGTCGGTTTTAGACAATTTTCGTTGTTGGGCATTGTCTACATTTTTTCCGTACCCATTTCGGCGTCCAAGTGGGGTAGGGAGAGGGGGAACGTGTCTTAGGAACACCTTGCTTCTTAGAAGGACAATTTTTTTGTATCGAATGGCTTTCGGCCTATCCAGCCGCCGCGCTTGGGTTGTGGGTATGCAGCCTATTGGATGTTGGTTGGGATCTCGTGGGAGGCCTCTCGGGGGCCTCCTGGAGGCAGTTTGGACGCCTCTTTGGGGCCCTTTTGCGGCCTCTTGGGGCCTCTGTTAGGCTCCATTGGGTCTCTTGGGGCCGTTTGGGCGCCTCTTAGGGGCCTCCGTGGCGCCTCTGGGGGTCTTCTGGGGGCCTCCTCGGGCGGGGAAGGCTCGGATTGTCGGTTCGTGTTCCCTGTCTTGAGCCTTTTTGGGATCCGTCTTTGGAATTGTGGGCCGTTTGCGGCGCCTCTTGGACCGTCTTGGGGCTCTCTCGGGCCGTTGTGGGGTCCTCCTGGAGGCCTCTTGGGAAGTCTTAGGGCGGTCTTAAGGAACCTCGACGAAAGGGCTGTCTGGGAGCGTCGGGAAGCCAAAAAGGCGCGAACCTCAAGATCCTTCAAACACTCTTCAGGGCAAATTCATGATTTGGGCCTCTTGGGGCCCTCTTGGGAGGCCTCTTGGAGGCTTCTCTGGGCGTCTTGGAGACCTCTTGGGCCGCCTGGGGGCCATCTGGAGCGTCTTGGAGCAAACGTTCGGCGACTCGGGGCTTCTTGGACCGTCTTGGGAGCGTCTTCGGGGCTTTCTTGACCCGTCTTAGAGCCCCTTTCGGTCCGAACAAGTCACGCGACAAGATTTTTGGGGAGCCACGGGAGCACGCGGGAAGCCCAATAAGCACGCGGGAAGGCACAAGGGGCACGCGGGAAGCCCGCCGAGATTTCGGAATTCGGGGTCTTGGCCCCTTCAAGACCCCTCCAGGAGCGAGGAGTGAGGCCTGGAGGGCCAGGCAAAGGACCGGATGGCACGCCCACTCCGTGCCCAGAGGCACGGTGGCGTATAGATGTAAGGCCCGCGCCTTCTGAGGGGCAGACTCCTTCTAAGAAGCCGTCCCCCCTCCCCCAACCTCCTTGTGCGCGCCGCCAAGAAGGTACCACATTCTCCGCGCACCGCGATCCGGGCTTGGGCTCTCCTCCGGGGTGCAGGAGGGCGGTGCGCGCGAAGGTGGTGTTGCTTCGCTCGTCGCACCTTCCCGCGACGCGGCGCGCACAGTTGAGCGACCGAAGTAACTGCGAAGGGTCTTCAGTCCTGCCCGCCCCCCCCCCCAAAGCGCTCGGCTTGCAGTTCGAGCTGTTTTTGTCCTCGTCCCTCCCCTCCTCGTCCTCCCCTTCGTCCTCTCACGCAATGGGCGTCTCCTGCTCAGCCTGTGCGTACAAGGAGGAGGAGGAGGAGGAGGAGGAGGAGGAGGAGGAAGAGGAGGCGGAGCAGGAGCAGCAGGAGGAGGAGAAGGAGGGGGCGGAGGAGTAGCGCAGGGAGGGGTAGGCTCAGGAGGGGAGATGCACGGGCCCCCGACGGCCCAATCACCGTCCTCCCCGCCAAGGGCCGTGCACGTTTGCTCTCGGGGGCCATCGCCGATCTGTCGGCGGTGCATCGCCGACTCCGGGTCGGTGCCCCCCCCAGAGCCGGTCCCCCCCCGAGCGCTCCCCGTCAGAACAGCGGGCCCCTTGCGGGCAAGCCGGCCCTCGTCGGCGCCACTGCCACGATCCTCCTTGCGGCTGGAGCTCCACCGCGTGTGCTGCAGGCCTTTCTGAGTACATCGGCGGCCGCGGTGTGGTCTCGCACGCGGCCGCTCGGGTGAGGCCCCCCCGAATTGCGCGGACGTGGACCGACCACGGGCAAGCCTGCTGCACGTCGAAGAAACAGAGGTCATAAACGTATGAACGTTTGGAGCTCCGCGCGGATCTCTTGGATCGGCGCTGAGCCTCCCTTCCTTGCGCGCGGAGCGCGCGCCGAAGGGTGGCGCCGGGGGCGCCATCGGGGGGGGCCCAGCGCCGATCCAAGACACCCGCGCGGAGCTCCAAGAGTTTATGCTCTCTTGGCATCGCTCGGACGTGTGCATTTTTCCTTCGGCGAGGACCATCGAGTAGCATCCTTGATCACTTGGCGAAACAACCACACACGAAATCGAAAAAAGCACACGGAATGGACGTCCGAGCGATGGCGAGTTTTGCTCTTGCCCCATGCTGTTTCTCTGGCATCACCCCAAGCGGAGGAGGGTAATGACAGGGCCGGGCGCCCGCGCGTCAGAGTAGCAGAGGGCGTGTCGACCTCCTCCTCCTCCTCCTCCTCCTCCTCCTCCTCCTCCTCCACCCCGCCGCCCGCCGCCGGCGTTTCGCGCAGAACGCCGCTGGCGACCCAGAAGCGGTCGATTTCGAGCGATCCGACGCCTCGGAAACGGCCGATCGCTCATGGCCGAGCGAGGGCCGCGGTGTCAGTCACCAACGCCGCAGTCGGCACGACACGAACCCGCCGTATGCAGCAGAGGGCCCCCAGTCGGACGCGCTCAGGTACGCCGTCGGCCAGTCCTTGCCCCCACCCCCCTACTGGAGCTGCCGCGTCGGCCGGCGCCCCCGCCGCGCAGGTGAACGCGAGCGGCAACACGGTGAGCACGAGCAAGGGCATCAACTGGGGCACGGTCTCCTCGGGCACGGGCTCTCTTTCCGGCCGCGGAGGAAGACAGGCATGACCATAAAGTGTCGACGCTCGGTGCGGATTTCTCAGATCTGCGCGGGGCGCCCCTGGCTGCGCCTTCGGCTGAATTCCACCGCCTTCCAGATCCGGGAATCCTTATCCAATGGTTTATCATCGAATGCCCTCACCGTATGACTGTTGTCCGCCCAGGACTCCTCAGGATCGGGTGACTCGAGGCCCTCTGCCACGAGGAGGTTCTCTTCCCTCCCCTCGGGCCAGTGGGGGAGGGGCTTAGATCGGACGGTGCTCAGGACAAGGATCGATCCGTTCCAGAGCGTTCCGAAGCGCTTTCAGAGTGAGCTCTGAGAAGGCCGCGGCGCCCGGGGAGGGGGGGGGGGCTGTTAGAAAGAGGGTCTTGGGGGGGGCACAGGTCTTGGGCAGTTCTCGGGAGTTCTTGATTATGGGAGGTCTTTGGAACAGCGGTAATGATGATTTGATGGTGATGATGCTGATGGTGATACTGATGCTGATGCTGCTTATGATGATGATGATGATGATGATGATGATGATGATGATGATGATGATGATGATGATGATGATGTTGATGATGGCGATGATGATGATATTGATGATGAAGATGCTGATGATGATGATGACGATGATGATGATTCTGATGATGATGATACGACTGGTGATGTTGGTGATGACGATGGTGATAATGGTGATGATGTTGGTGATTTTGATGGTGGTGGTGATGGTGATGATGATGCTGGTCATGGTGTTGCTAGGAATGCTGTTGGTGGTGACGATGATGATGGCGATGACGATGTCAATGACAATGACGATGGCAGTGACGATGACCATCATGATAACGACGACGATACTGATATTGATGATGATTGTGATGATGCTGATGATGATGATGCTGATGCTGACAATGAATCTGATGATGGTGATGGCGATATTGAGACTTATGATATCATAATGAGGATGGCGATGGCGACAACGACGACGATAAGAGTGCTGCTGATGCTGGTGGTGGTGTTGTTGATGTTGATGTTAATGGTGACGTTTGTTGTGGTTGTTGTTGTTGATGAAGGTCATGATGCCGATGATGATGATGATGATGATGATGATGATGATGATGATGATGATGATGATGATGATGAGTCTGATGATGATAAGTGTTTGAATGATGATGATTTTGTTGCTTTTACAGTTATCGGTGATGATGAGGAGATAAGGGGGATGATCATGAGCATGAGGATGCTTTAAACAATGCGTATGAGGATGAGTCAGAGGAGGCAGAGAGGAGGAGAGGGAGAGCAGAGAAGAGACGATACTATGACAACATCATAACAGTAGGATGATGATGATGATGATGATGATGATGATGATGCTGATGATGATGATGATGATGATGATACTGATACTGATACTGATACTGATAATGATACTGATACTGATACTGATACTGATACTGATACTGATACTGATACTGATACTGATGATGATGATGATGATGATGATGATGA